AACAAAACCACAAAAGGAACAACAACATCCCGAATCTGACATCTTTACAAATAGACAGACACAAAGTTCTTTGATTACAAGGCTCTATGAACCGAATCTGACATCTTTACAAATAGACAGACACAAAGTTCTTTGATTACAAGGTACTATCAACCGAATCTGCTCTTGTTGTTATTCTAGGGCCTATTTAACATGTATTTATTAAATGTTTCATCATTATTAGATTTATCAGTTGGGAATTGAAGTGTAATAATAAAGGAAAACAACATGACTTTAGCAGCAAACATTTCTTTAGTCAGATGTTTTGGAAGTGATTATTTATATCATCAAAGAGAAAGAAAGTAAAAGTTTGAACTTTGTATCACACTTTTAGTTTTTTCATCATTGTGTGCTGATGATGAATTCGTAAATTCCCAAATGTTTGAGTAAAGAAGTGTGTGTATTGTCGAAGCCATGGTGTTTTTTATTACTATCCATAAATTGTGTAATTGCACTCGTAAGAACACGCACATTGTTAATTACATGCACACGAACACACACACACACACACCCTCGACATCACAAACTCGTCAAGTATTTCTGCTTCTTTACTGCCATCTGAACTGAAATATTAATATTGTTGCAGCTCCTAAATCTCAACATTGGAAATGTGTTCATAGCAATAAGTGGCATGCCTACCCCAAAAATGTTACCAGAATTTTTCCACAAGTGCAAACTCCAGTTAAGAATGTGGCATTTTAAAATAGTATACAAGACAATACATGCTTGAATTTCTCGAAACGAAAGTGATACGACACTTACCAAATAAAATTTATTACCCTGTTTTTGAATAAATGTAATTGTTCATGTAATTAAAACTTCAGTTATTAATTTTCTATAACGCTTGTAAATATTATGGATGTGTATGATTATTTATTTATAGAATTTCAGTTTGTCTTAACAAGCAAATATTGTACAAACAGTGACTTGATCTCAGAATATAGATGTTAACTTATCAGTTGGATATATAGAAGCATAAAGTAATGATGCTAATTCAGGTTTGATACATAGAAACATAGGGTAATGATGCTAACTCAAGTTTGATACATAGAAACATAGGGTAATGATGCTAACTCAAGTTTGATACATAGAAACATAGGGTAATGATGCTAACTCGTTGGTTTGATATGTAGAAACATAGATTAACGATGCCAACTCATTGGTTTGATATGTAGAAACATAGATTAACGATGCCAACTCATTGGTTTGATATGTAGAAACATAGATTAACGATGCCAACTCATTGGTTTGATACGTAGAAACATAAATTAACGATGCCAACTCATTGGTTTGATCTATAGAAACAGAGCAATGATGCTGACTCATTGGTTTGATATATAGAAACACAGAGTAATGACGTGCACTTTGACCTACCTGTTGTGAGAGAATTAATGAAACCATTAATTCAAACAATTTCAGTAAACAAGACATCATATTGAACAAATTCTCATTACACTGGAGATGTGTTGTCCCTTCCAGGTTCGGATTAACTAATAGACAAGGTAGCCAGGTGCCTTTGAGCCAATGGTGTCAAAGGGCCTGCAGTGTTATGCTTCTTCTTTCTTTTTTATTTTTTAATAGCCTTCTAGATAATTATTCGAGTTGAAACTAGTGTTTTAAAAGCATTATCTTTGATAAAATTTCAGTACAAGGAAAAGAGAGAGCTTGTTTGTTTGTTGTTATGCTCAAAGCTGAAAGCGGACTTATGGAGAAATGGACTACAGGAATGAAATTGCCTATCTGGTCTTGTGTTTTCCTCCGATTTCTTTTGTTGATACTTAAGTTTAGATGGAGATATCTATAACCAAGTAGTACAAGTTAAACATATCTCTATTTGTACTTAGAGATATGTTTAAATTGTACTTCTTTTTTTCTGATATGTTATTTGGGTAAGTTGAAATATTTAAACAAGGATTATAATTCATTGATTGTATTTCCAATTAAACTATTCAGTACTATGTTAAAATGATAATGAAAATGTGATTGTTCAATTTCGTCAATTATACAAAGGGGTGCTCACAGAAATAAATTAAGGGGGGCTCAAGTAACTCAAGTTTGAAAAAAATTATGAAATCGATATACAAATACCTTATGATTTTCCAATAACATCAAATAATAATTTTACATATCTAGTAAGTTTTTTTCTTTTTGAAAATCCAGGGGTGGTCAAGTGACCTCCCTTGCCCCTTCCTGCGGGTGCCCATGGTTGAGCACGTTACATGAAAACAATTTTGAATATGCAAATCGGCATGTCGCATGATATCCACAGCCAAAATAAAGTTGTAGTGGAATGGCTTGTATCAGAAGTACACTTTGACGGTGTTTGGTGTTCCATAAGTAGTATGTCACCGACAATTATTTGTTTTTGCAAGAGTTATGTGACGGGCCATTGTGGCACAAAATATTCATATACTCAAATCATAAAGATGTGTTCAGATCAGGGATTTAGAAATCTTTTTAATGGTTTTGGAATAAAAAAAGGAATATGGGTCAACTTGGGTAACCATGACCATTCTTCAACAAGTCATTGCTCAGCCACAATAACGAAGAAGTAACTCCATCTGGAAAAGCAACACAAGGCGCATACAAAAGTTTCTTTCTTCAGCCGTCGCGTACATCAAGTGGCTAAAGAGTGAAATGGATATTCATGCTCTTCCTTACGTGATGTATACTAGTCAAGTCACTGGATGTCACACCTGTGAAGTTCTTTGTGATTGGATGATTGAAACAGGGTCTGATAAACAGTCATCCTTATTCGTTAGATGCACAGGGTGTCCAAGAAGTCTGGACCCATAGGGAAAATAGACATTATATTCTTTATGTTAAACAAACACATTTCTAATGTCAGTTGTACATATTTCAGGAAAGAAAATACCCTGATGGCATAGTATACCAAGAATTGATATGTGTATGGCTGTTAATGGCATGCAATTTGAATAATAAATAAATTAAGAATAAATTGATGATGTTAGAAAAACACGTAGGTTCAATAAGTCTTGATACAAAATGATAAAACCCTATAACCCAAGCGTTTTTGAAAGGTGGGCAAACTGAAGAAGAAAGGTGGATCTTTCGAAAGTGCTCAGGTTATCATTTTGTAATAAGAATACATTGTGTATTTTGCCTTATGGGTCCAGACTTCTGGGACACCCTGTATTATGGAAAGCCGGCAGAGAGGAAAGGTGTGCTTTGGACACTACAACTTTACAAGGAAGCCTTTTTCAAGGAAAAGTGCTGAAGGGCTATTGTCAGAATGCATGGTCAGCAGACAGAGCTTGATCGGATGTGGCGACATACAAAAGATTTGATTGGTATAATCTGTATATTCTGAAGGAAAGATGAAGCATAATTGTTTGCGTTAAGATTATGTTAATTGTGTGCTGGTTTATGTTTTTCCAGAACTATTAAAAGAAGCCTATCATGATCAGTAGTACATTTGTATTAGAAAATGATGTAGACGGTAGATCTGAATTTAAAATAAACACTGTTTATTATATATCTAGAAAGTTTTGGAAATTTGCTGTCATATGGCTTTGCTTCGAGCCCCTTTGTTAACACTGACCAGTATTATATCTGCCCATTATGACAACTTCAGGTTAGATGAGTTCCTGGTATTTGATATCATTTTGTTCTAAATCTTAAACGTTCCAAAGTTTCACATTTCTGTTTCCCATTATAGCAGCTGTTTGTTATTCACATCATTTAAGGAACATTTACTGATTATTGTAATTTAACAGACTTGTCTTGTGTCCACTGTGTGGTGTTGCATCTGTATTAAATTTTGTTGATATTCATATTTATTTAAACCTTAAGCTTAAGAACAATTTAATTCAAAAACAATAGTAATTTCGTATTACTGTTTTATATATATATATATATTTGTATAACCAGTTGATAACATAGTTTGTGTTCTTATTTCATAGACCTCTGCGAGAAACCGACATCTTAACTCCAGAACATGGTCGAATGGTTGCAAAAGAAATTGGAGCTCCTTACTATGAAACCAGTGTCCTTACCCATTATGGTGTGAATGAAGTGTTTGAGAATATAATTAGGGTGGCTCTTATAGCCCGGAGACAGCAACGTTTTTGGATGACGAACCTGAAACATGTTCAGCACCCCCTTCTTCAGGTGAGAAAACGATGTGTTTATCAATACGTGTGTTAGAGTCTTGAAATTGGAGTTAGTTTTGTGGGTTTGTAAGTGATTATTCATTGTATATGAAAGTAGTAAGTCTCCTGAAAACAATACTTGCTTAACTCTAGAGTAGCATTGGCATTAAAATGACCATTAAGATATGAAACCCTATAACCCAGATACTTTCAAATGGTAGACCTTTTTTGTTCGGGTGCACCTTTTTTTTTTTAAAAGCACTTAGGCTATAGGGTTGGTATTTTTGTGTTCAACTGACTTCTTGAACTGACATGTTTTCCTAACATGATGGACTTAAATCAACCAGGATGTTTTTCTCAACAAAAACACTAAATGGCAAAAAAAGTACTAAACTTTGTTTTCACCAATTTTTTTATAGAAAAAACAAATTTGGATGTAATTTTTTACATGTGTTACACCATACTGGCTTGTAATAAATATACAAACAGAATTGTTTCATTACGATTGAATTAATTGTTATGCCAGGTTCCATTCTGCCCTCCAAAGCAACCATCTCCTAGTATTTGCGTCCCTGATTCCCAGTTTGAGAATGACATGTTGTCACTGTTCCATAGCCAGGTGTTCACTGACGTCATATTCCTTTGTGGAAAAATAGGCTTTTCCGCCCACAAGGCAGTGTTAGCTGCAATTAGTGGTACATTTTTCAAACTTTTCACTATGGATTTATCACCAGATATTTCAACATCTGCTCGTAGTTCCAGCGAGTCCAGTATGGTAAGTTGGATTTAGGCTTATTACTGTAATGGAGTTATAGTTGGTTTATTGTAACTTAAATTATTGAAATTGAATTGTAAATTTGGATTAGTTAATGTGGTTTTGTTGTACGATAAATTTGATAGTGCCTTGT